TTGGGGAAGAGCTGCCTCCTCAAAGTACAGTTGACTGTGATGACGCAAATGAAATAAACCTCTCGGGACCATCATTTGCTGATGGGGCACAACTCAAAATGAAGAGAAACAACTGTAACTATCCATTAATAATTAGAACATGAAATGTATGAAGTATGAATGTAGGAAAATTGGAAATGGTCAAAAATGAAATGGAATACATAAACATTGATATCTTAGGCATTAGTGAACTGAAATGGACTGGTATCGGCCATTCTGAATCTGACAATCATGTGGTTTACTATGCTGGAATGACAAATTGAAGAGGAATGGCATCACATTACTCATTGAAAAGAACATATCAAGGTGTGTCTTGAAGTACCAACGCTATCTATGATAGGATAATATCCACACATCTACAAGGAAGACCTGGTGTGGCACTGTGAGCTAATGCATTGGACTGCAAAGTCACTTTGAATCACAAGGTTGGCAGTTCAAGCTCACCAACTTCTTCTTGGAAACCCTATATACAGGGTTGCTATGGGTCAAAACCGACTGAACAGGACTTAACAACAGCAACAAGGAAGATCAGTTAATTCCACTATATTCAAATTTACACACAAAAAACTAAAGCCAGTGATGATAAAATTGACGAATTCTATCAACTTCTTCAGTCTGAAATCGATCAAACATGCAATCGAGATGTATTGATAGTTACTGGTGATTGGAATACAAAGGTTGGAGGCATAAAAGATGACTATACACATGGACCTCATCAAAGTCAAATTGACTGCCTCTGTGTAAACAGACAGTGGAAAGACTTCATATCATCAGCTAAACCAAGGCTAGGATAGACTGTGGAACAGACCATCAATTGCTCATATGCAAGTTCAGGCTGAAGTTTAAGAAAATTAAAACAAGTCCATGAGAACCAAAATACAACCTTGAACATATCCTACCTGAATTTAGAGATTATCTCAAGGACAGATATGATGCATTAGACACTAAAAACCAAAGAAGAGTTGTGGGATGACATCCAGAACATGATACAGGAAGAAAGCAGAAGGTCATTAAGAAGACAAAAAAGAAGACCAAAATGGATGTCAGAAGAGACTCTGAAACTTGCTCTCCAGCATAGAGATGCTAAAGCAAATGAAAGAAACAAGGAGGTACAAGAGCTGAACAGAAAACTTCAAAGGTCAGCTGAAGAAGACAAAGTCAAATGTTAAAACAAAATGTGCAAAGAGCTGGAGTGAGAAAACCAAAAGGTAAGAACATGCTCAGCATTCAGGAACTCGAGGGAATTGAGTAAAAAAATTCAAGCCTCGAGTTGCTACATTGAAATATTCTATGGGCAAAGTATTGAATGATGCAGACAGCATTAAAAAAAAAAAAGATGGAAGGAATACACAGAGTCACTGTAGCAAAAAGAATTGATCAATGTTCAACCACTTAAATTGGAAGCATATGATCAAGAGCCCATGATGCTAAATGAAGAAGTACAATATACATTGAAGGCATTGGCAACGGACAAGGTGCCTGGAATTGATAAAATACAAGTTGAAATATTTTAACAAACTGATGAAGCACTAGGGCTACTCACTTATCTCTGCCAAGAAATTTGGAAGACAACTACCTGGCTAAGTGACTGGAAGAGATCCATATCTGTGCCCATTCCAAAGAAAAGACTGAAGAATCTTTTCTTTAATGGAGAAAAGATTGAAGTTGTCAAAGACTTCATTCTACTTGGATCAACCATCAACACTCATGAAAGCAGCAGTCAAGAAATTAAATGACATATTGCATTAAGTAAATCTGCTGTACAAGACGCCTTTAAAGTGTTGAAGAGGGAAGACATCAGTTTGAGGGCTAAGGTGAGTCTGACCCAAACCATGGTATTTTCAATACCCTCATAGGCATGTGAAAGTTGGACGGTGAATAGGAAGACCATAGAAGAATCGATGCATTTGATTTATGGTGCTGGAGGAGAATATTAAAAGTACTGCCAAAGAATAAAGTAATCTGTAATGGAAGAAGTACAGCCAGAGTGCTCCCTGGAAGGCAGGGATTTAGCAATCTGTGAAAACACACACACACACACACACACACACACACACACAATTATTCATATAAATATTCATAGGAGGATTCTTTTAGCTCACCAAGATGATTGAGGAAATATAGCCCTCTTGCCCAAGTATCCCTTAGAAATCCTAACCTAAAGATTGTTTTTAGAGAAGGGCCATGTTATGATCCCTAAAATGCAGCTTCTGATGTGTTCTAGAACATGTTCCTGGGCTTTTGCACCCTAACATTCTCACCAGATCACACTGGTCACTGGTGGTGCTGACACTGACCATGGAGAGATCACCCCCTGCTGCAGGGTCCAGCAGCCTTCTACTGGTAACTGAGGACACCACTACTCTGAGCTCATGGGACTCTGCTTCCCAGGGTTGCCACAGGACAAATAGGACCAGATCATATTTTCAACAAGATCTTTCTGAAGAGTTTGGGGGTCAAATAACAACAAAAAATTCTATATTAGAAGTGCAATTTACAAGCACAAATAGATGTCAGTGTTCTCAGCCCTTTCAGCGTTGAGGTCCTTGAACTGGCAAGAGAAGACCGGCTGGCTCATCCCTCTTTATTCTCATTCCTTTCTTACCCCTATTGCCAGTATACCCCATACAACCACATGTATGCACACACACACACACACACACACACACTCCTACACTCTCACTCAATAGTTTGGTCTGTGTTGCACTTAAGAATACTTGTAGGCATTGCTCAGGAGGTGATGTTGCTATAGACTAGCAGGTCGACATCAGTGGTTTTGATAAATTAGTTAAAACAAGTCCATTTGAAAATAACAGTTAATTGGAAAAGGCTGGTTTCAACTCTTAGGTAAGCAAGTGGTTACTGATGGGTTTTGGGCTTCTTAAGGAGTCCTGGTGTGGTGCTGTGGGTTAATTGCCAGATTGCAAAGCTGTTTGAACTACAAGATTGGTGGTTCAAGTTCACCAGCTGCTACTTGGAAACCCTATACAGGGTTGCTATGGGTCGGAATTGACTAGACACCACTTAACAACATTATCTACATAATTTTTGTTCCTGCAATCTTATTTATTTTTCAGTGCAGGAGAAATCCTGTTTTGTCATCTTCCTGAAATAATTTTTAGTAGAAAACAGTGTAATTTTCCATTCATGATATTGGTCTGCTCCTTAATAACCTAATCATTTTCCAATGATTTGTTTTCTTTTGTTTTCAGGCATTTAGAGTAACAAAGGAGTCCATCCAGAAAGCTACTCATGTTTTCTAAACCTGAAAAATCCTAGATCTCAATTTGTAGCATGTTTATAAATACTCTTAGGAACATGAGCTCTAAGTGATTCAAATTCCTAGAAATGCATTTCAACTTATTTAATTTTTTGGCACAAAAAGCTTTATTCTCCCTCCAGGGATTCACCTCAACCATTTTGTATTGTTTCTCTTGGAAAGTCTTCATTCCAATCTCACGTAGCTGCATTTCTGTGTTAACAACACTGCTGATTTTTGCCGTCTGGTCTAAGGATCTTAACCATCCCCTCCTCTTAAAAAGATCACACAACTGCCCAAAAGTAATGATAAGTCATTTTAACCTTTTTGACATGACTTTATACATAATTTACGTTTCATTCATATAAAATTATCAGAGGCCTCCTCATTTATGGAATCACTGTATAGTGCAAATAGTTAAGCTCTTGCTCACTGAAAGTTGGAAGTTCAAATCCATTCAGAGGCCTTCAGAAGAAAAAGTACTTACAAAAAACCAGCCATTGAAAACTCTCTGACACACATGGGCTCACCCTGAGTCGTAGTGAATGAAGTGACAATTGGTACTGGTCACATATAGATGCTCCATTTCCATGCATTTCTATGTGCAAACATTTCTATTTATTTGTTTGACTTTAGTTATTTCTCCGGGAGACATTTAGTGATTATTTATCATGTGTTAGGCACTGTGCTAAGTACTGAAGAGACAATGATGAAGACGATAGATACAATTTCTGTTCTTGCAGGGGAAGAAACAGAAACGTTGACAGGCAAGTGCAATACAATGTACCAGGTACTATTATACGGAAAGTCCAGGAGTCCAGGTGTGGCACTGTAGGGTATGCGCTTGACCACAAGGTCAGTTTGAACCACAAGGTTGGTGGTTCAAATTCAGTAGTCACTCTTTGGAAACCCTATGTAGGGTAGCTATGGGTCAGAACCAACTTGGCAGCATGTAACAAGCTGCTATGAGAAAGTTATATTAATGATGATGATGATAATCAACCCATGTAAAGCACTTACTATTGGCAAGCACTGTTATAATTTGATCATCCTGCTGTGGTGTTGTAAGATAAGCACTGGACTACTAACCATAAGGTTGGTGGTTCAAACTTAGCAACTTCTACTTGGAAACCCTATACAGGGACGCTATGAGTTGGAACTGACTCTCCCGCGCTTAACAACAACCACCTTATGCTGTTGGTACTTATCATTATCTTCTAAGAAGGTGGGGAAAGAAGATGAAAGAGAACAAAGCAGAAGGATGTGTTGCCATGGGGACTGAAGGAGAAGAAAACTTCAAGTGTAAAGGAGGAAGAACGACCTTGTGAAATTTGACCAAAAACACAAGTAAAACGAATGACAAGTGTTTTGGTGGCTTTTTAGTTTTCTTTCTCAATGATTAGTAATACATTTTTGGACACTTTGATCTTCTAGAAATGTATGGTTGTCAAGTGGTTCTTTGATTCCACACAACTTATCCTTGTCAGAAGTTCATTTAGGGAGTCCATGTGAGAGATGTTTAGAGCTAGTGCAGACTCTGTCTCTTAGTTAGCTTGTACAAACCACTCCTGTTCAATCCAATCAACTTTATTGAAAGTCTGATTTGGGTATGGCATGATAGAAGATAAAGCAGATAGTGTCTGTCCTTGGCAGTCAGTAGAAAACATCTGTTTCATTTGTTCCTCTTTTCCTTGGTCCATAGGTCCAAGTGAATCCAGGACTTGGTGCGATGAATGGTGAACTCTCCTCTCTGAATGGCACCTCAGGAGCTGACACCCTTCTCCAGAGCTCCAAGCTAGCTTCTGTCTCTGCAAAGAGGACCCTAGAACCAAGGAGCAGGAGAAGCCGAATCAGGAACTCCAAAGTGGGTTCTCTGCAGCTTCTGGAGCCTGGTAGAAGCCTAACCTCAGACAGTTTTAGTGGCACATCATGGCAAAGCCCTAGCTGGTCATCTCCAGCCAGCAGCCTGCACATAGACAACCAACTCTATCTGCCTTCTCCCCACTTTGAATCTGGGGTCAGAATTGAGGCCCTCAGCCAGAGAAATCCCTTTCAGAAGCTTGAGGCAGAAATGAACGTTGATACAGGGTTCACTGTGGTCAGTTCTGAACCTAGGCAATCTTCTTTGGGCAGATGTCCCAGAGATTTGCAGACCATCCAGCCTCCATCCTGCTTGCCAGCTGCCTCAGTAGTGACGCCTGCCTCCCCAAACAGCACAGTCTTTGAGGAAAGGATCCTTCCTTTGTCACTGGCTGGCCAGAGGGAACTCAATGAAGGCAAGATAATCTCAAAATGTGCCCTTCACCAGCCAGTCCAGATGGAAGAAAAAGAAGAAGAATTCTTTATATAGTATCAAACAAATGTGATTTTCTAAGATAGGAGATCAGACACAATTTTATAGAAATGGAGTGGTGAGCTGGAACAGGCCTGTTTCTAGTTCGTGAAGGGCAGAGGAGCTCCTATGCTACATGCACAGAGCTGTACTGCTTTTATTTCAAAAATTAAAAGTCTAAAGGTGCTGTGAGTGGGTGTTTATCTGCTATCACAGTCCTAAGGGAGCATAACCCATGTAGAGGGGTAAAGCTGACTGCCTCCATTCCCTAGAGAAACATTAACCCAGCATGGTAACTGGCATGGTAACCCATAATGGTAACCAGGCATGATGTTTTGAGTTCAGAATAATTGTATTCTATGCAAATGAGTTACATGTATTATGCAACACTGATTAGTGTGTATAATTTGGTTTTAATTTTTACTTGGGCTGTATCGTTCACCCCCATGGACATATTTATTCTTTAGCATGTTTTCATTTTTATGTGGCCTCTTTTGGTAACTAGGCCCTGTTCACTACACACCCTCTTGTGATTTTGTCTTTCAAGTTGCTTGCTTCTGGAACGAGTTAAAACCCAAAGTGTTTTGAAAATTAGGAACAATTTTTACCCCTGTTAAATGAACAGAAACACTGGAAGCCAAAAGCAAACACACAAAAAACAGGTTAAAATTGAAAGCTGAACTCAAGGGTTCTCTTGTTCTTTGATGGCTCATCTACTTCAGCAGAGAAGTCGATAGTTTGAGGTCTTCCCTGAGGAGAGCAGGAGTTGGCTGGATGGAGTGCTGGATCAGGACTCGTGGCTCTTCCAGCCATATTGCATTCCCCAAATTTCTTTGCAACATTAATTTAACCAATATTTATTGAGTACTGAGCCTTGAATTATGTGGGTGTTGGTGATTTCAGTGGTAGAAATCTCAGCTCTCATGCAAGAGACCCAGATTCAATTCCTGGCCAATGGCCCTCAAGCCTAGCCACTGCTCATCTGTCAGTGGAGGTTTGTGTGTTGCTGTGATGTTGAACAGGCTTCAGAGGAGCTTCCAGACGAAGGTGGACTGGGAAAACAGTCCTGGTGATCTATATTAAAAATAGCCAGTGAGCACTCCATGGATGATTACATTTCAATCTGCAACTGATCCCGGAGATGGTGCAGGGCCAGCCAACATTTTGTTCATTGTGCATGGGGTCAACCTGAGTCAGGACAACTTGATGACAGCAAGCAGAAGTTTAATAAGCCATTGTGTATGTATATTTGGAGCTCTGGTAGTGTAGTGGTTACAAACCAGGCTGCTAATCTCACGGCTGGCAGTTCGAAATTACCAACTGTTCCATGGGAGAAAGATGAGGCTTTATGTTCCATGGGAGAAAGATGGGGCTTTACATCCTCGGAAACCCTGTACAGGGTCGCTATGAGTCAGAACCGACTCCATGGAACATAACAACAACATGTATATATTGTGTGGATATCAAACCCCAAAACTGTTGAAAAATTTTTCTTTGTTGATAAATCTTTTCTGCTAATTCTTAAAAATAGGTTCTAGTCCAAATTTATTCCACAAGAAACTTTCCACAACTGATCCAACACTTGCCACGCACAACCTAAAGATGGATGCTGGGCATATTGTGAATTGCAGCTATAATCATAATGGGCAAATTCTCCATTGCTCACATGCTAAATTTTTTGGTTAGGTCTGTTCCACACATTTAAGAAATCTGAGGACTATATGTTTCAGTACAAGATTATTAGTCTTCATGAACTTAATTTTCCAGGAAGAATATTATATAA